GTTTGGGGGTGAGTTGGGCAGGACTGTTCTTCCTGCCCATCTGACATACAGCAACAGAGACGCCCTGGTGCAGAGCATTCCCTAAGGGCTCTCCCTCCTGAGCCTTGGCCTGTGGGCTTCTGCAGTGCCCACCTCCTGGCCTTGCTCCTCTTGTGGGTGCTGTGATGTTGCAGTGCAGTGACATGGAGCCAGTCCCCCAGTCAAATGGGTTAATCGCCACTTCCCCAGCAACACCCCCAGCGACCCCCTTAGAGCGCAAATCTTGTCCAGGGTGACTGGTCATGCTCTCAGGGCCAGCCCTGTGGAACTGTTTTACAGTAAACGCTGTGGGAAGAGGCTGGTAGCAAGACCCGTAAGCCACATCAAAGATCACTGCATAAACAAGAAATGAATCACTGTTATAAGTAAGATAAACAAGGCAGCATGGGAACGCTGGTTTATTGTACATGTTGGGGTGGGATTTCTTTTGGTTATTCCTGTGCTGGCACTCTGACTTCCATTCATGTTTGGTTTTGTGTTTGTTTTTTTTTTTTTTTTTAGGCTATTGAATATTTAAGTGCATGAAAAAGTCTTACGTTTCTTTTCAGTCTCCTTTAGTGAAGAAGGTTGGGCAAGGGGATTTTTCCTATCTGTATTTTGTATATTAAGTGGAACTATTTCCCAGTTCTGGTCCCTCTGTGATTAGTAATTGAGGAGCATATTTAGGTAGAAATAATCCTGAACTCGTGCCACTTAGAGATTAAGAGGAATTCAGTCCTATTTCTCTCTAAGCTTCTTGTCAAGTACTGAAGAAAAAGCTGTGATATGGGTAAGCAGCTTTGGTGCAGGTTTCACTTTTCATCTGAAATAGTTGGCTAGAGTTAGTATCTGCTGATTCTTTGCGTGACTGTTTTTTCCCCCATGCTTTCTGATTCAGTTTCCACATTTCAGCTTGCCATCACAAAACAATGTGCCTTGCCAGCTTGGTCTGATACTTTGTGAAATCGCTTCTGTGATTGGATGCAACCTGATAAGCCAAACCTTCATGGCAGGGCAGGTGAACAGGGCTGATCCTGAGTATTGTCCTCACAGTACAGTCTGGATGCAAATGCTGTTCCAGTGGCGCTTAGCAGGAATTGAAGGTGGGAGGATAATTCTTATTTTCAGTCTCTGGTAGGATGTATGTGTTAGTGTTCTGTTAGTTGTGTTGTTAGTGACAGACACTGGGAATTGTTAATGCAATGTCAGATGCATAATTTCTTTTGTAGGCAGGAAGGCATTGTGTAAGGTTTTCATCCTGTTTCCAGACTGCAAATAATTAAAGTAGTGGCTCTTTTTTCCCTGCTATCACTTCTTATGGCTTGGGTTTTATGGCGGTCATCTTTTCCCCTGTGACAATATGAGTGTCATTTATCTCTTTACAAATACCCTTAATTAACCTCCCAGCTTACTGCGAGATACTACATAGCAGTGTACTGTTTGTCACCAGGGCCCCTTTACAACCTATTTCATGAATTTAGAAAACACTCTAAAAGCTTACAAGTCCTGAATTTTTACAGGTATTTTTTTTCCATAATAGGAGCTAATTTACATGTGAGTTTAACTTGTTGGTTGTGAACTGATTTCAGTTGCTTTAAGTTATATGATTTATTGGGATCGTTGTTTAAATCATGACTTCAAGACACTTGGTGTTACGAGTAGTAGCAGACAAGTTACCCAGCATTTATATTATTGGTTTACTTTTACTTTCATAAACTGTAATGCTGTCTGTCATTCAGCAGGGTGATAACCATTGGGACTTAAGAAAATGAGCCATTGCAAAGGAGTTGACATTTTTCTCAGGTTGTTCTCATCTCTCAAACTGTGCTATAGTCCTGGCTAGTACAAGTTAGTTCTCATGTGTCCTTAACCGTGGATGAGTTTGTCCATCTGCCACATATAAATTTTCAATATGTTCCAACAAATGCCATTGCTGCCCTGGGTAGAGCATACGGCTCTGCAGCTGAAGGAAATTTCTTCATTCCTCCTGTTAAAACTTTGTCTTTAGCTTGTAGTCCTCCTGCATGATATTTATTTTGCAGATATTTATTATACTGAACCATAAAACCACTACATACAGTAGTTCAAAATAACACAAATCTGTGGTTGTGAGACAGAAGAAAACAAACTGAATAGCACGCTGTCGGTCTGTTAATTAATCTTGTCCAATCTCCTGGCGCAGGGCGTGGTGGTACCCAGGCAGGTGCACGTGTTGCTGCTGCTGTGGCAGACAGGCTCAGGTGCAAATTGGGACCTCCCGACTTGGTGATACAACTCTTTCACTGTGACATTTAACACTTAAATGTACCGTGTGTTGTTACTCAGATCACACAGTAAAAAAAAAGGAGGAGGACAAAAAAGAGGGCGGGGCTGGCTGATCCCTGGCTGTTTCACTGACTTCTAGGGAAGTTGGTGGCTATTTCTTATTTGTCCTTCTGATCTCAAAACAGTCCAGGATTTTCAAATCTAGTGGCTGATACTTCTCTTAGAGACACAAGATTTTAACTTCCCTGACTCTTACTTTTAAAAGGCCTTTTATACCAAAGTTTCCTTTTCATCACAGACGCTGGTGTTAGAGACAGAGTGCACAGGAACATGACAGAGAGGAGTTAGTGAACCCTGCTGATGTCCAACACTAGAAATAGTAGGCTTTGTATATGCAGCCAAAATATTGCTCATGTCAGGACAGACTGTGTTGTGTACTTCGTGAAGTAAATCTGGTCATCTCCATGTCACTGCTGTATAGGTAAAATTATTGAACTGAATTTTTGTTTCCTTCCTTTTCTGCATTATTTGGTGCTGAACCATGTACAGTATGTGATGAACTGCATACAGCTGGATGAGTTGAACTTTTTTCTTCCCCTTTGTTAGTTCTTAATATTTCAAACCATCTCCCATTTAAGAAAAGCTGAGAAATACCAGAGGAATTTTATGTAGTCCATACACTGAAATATTACTGAGAAGAAAATTGCAGATGAGTGATAGGAAATGGAAGTGAAGAGGCAGGTTTCGAAGATGCTTCATGTGGGGAAGTAGGAATAAATAGGAAAAGAAAACCCTTAAAATATAAAATGCCCTTTTCTTTTAAAGAACAACTTAAAAAGACACCTAAAAAAACCCAATTCTTTTTTCTTTCCCAATCTTGGGATCTGCAAGTGTTGGTTTTTATTTTTATTAATTAAATATCTTTTGACCTCTGCAGACAAGGGTTTCTCTCCAATAAACCCATTATCAGACATTTGATTGATATCAGTAGTGCACTGTTGGTCTGTTTAAAAGGACAAGACTATGGAAGTGGCCAACCAATTCATTTACTTCTCCTTGATTCTACTTAATTCTGCACTACAGGTTTTCTTGCTTGAAACCAGGAACAGGTGACACACAGCACTGTTTGACAATGCTTGGGTTATTTTAAGAGAACAAATCTATCTCTGTATGACAGCTGAAGGCTCTGACACCAAGAGGAAAACCATGGAATAATACACAGGTACCTGTGTATTGTTGTGCACCCATTTTTCTTCTATGTGGTTATTTTTATATATATATAAGGAGATCTTTCCTTCAGCATACATCTCTCGCAGAAGATACTGTAGTGAAATAGTTGACATTACTGGTTTAGCCACAAACTGTTCAGAAATACTGAAAAACTGTTTTCAAGTTTTGTGAAGAGTGTAAGGCCCAGCACACAATTTCTTTCCTGTGAGCTCTGAAGTTACTGCTGGGCAGGAGGACTGCTTTGGTTTGGTTTGGCTTTGGAGGAAATATTCACCTGGCTCCCATTCCAGGTGAATATAATACAGAAGATAATTTTCACAGTTTTGACTGAAAAGCAGATTATCAGAAAACTCAGTTTCTTCTGAGCAAATTGTTCTGCCAGATGAGGACTGTTTTATTTCCTCTATAAAATAAAGAAACAGTGAGTTAATATAAACTACAGCTTTTGAAAAAGGCAAACAGCTTTGGTCCAAGTCCTGTAGCTTAGATAAGGAAATGTTTGTATTCCTTCTGTGGCAAGAGGATCACCTGATTCTGCCCTCCTGTAAGCTGTTCCCTCTGTTTTAATATTTTGTTATTCTTTCTTTTCTGATGGTTTATCTCAAGTTGTGAGTTATGTGAGGGCTTATTTTCAAATTACAGTACTTTCAGTAGCTGTGGATAATGAGATGCAAGTTCTGCTTCTGAATGGATGGTGTGTGATAATTGGCATGACTTTCACAGAAGACACTTCAGGGAAGGGTCTCCTCAGGGCTAGAGGAAAACTATTGAATTTATAATGCCTCTGTTTTCTGACGTATGGAAAATGGCAACAAAATTTGACTGCATGTATGAACTGACATGGGCTAATGGAATATATATCCATAGTCTAAACCACCCCAGTCAATGGTTTGATGTGTTTTTGTATGGTATACAGGATCTCAGAAGCTATGCTTTGTACCTTATAAAACAGAATCCTTGCAAAACAATTTTATAGTAGCATAAATCTGGAATACCATATTTCTACTGAAATATGTCCAATCTTTTTAATATCTTCAGTGTTTTGCTCCTGCTGAACAAACAGTACATAGACAGTATGGCTGAAACTATCATATCCATCATGTACCACTGTGATTTTTGTGGTGGAAGATGAGTTCATTATGATCTTCACCCTTAAGGCTACTTCACTCTTAAAGCCAGATTTAAATCAGCTTTGTTACTGTTCTTGCTTCATGGATTGTCTTGGATGGTTTGCTTTATGCTATTTTCTGGCCCAGAAATGTTATTTCGTGGTGTGTGGCTGACTCTGAATTTTGTTTCAAGTGAATCATGCTTTCTTTTTTAATGTACAGACACTGAGCTGTTCACAGTGGTAGAGTAACAAAGAAGTTTGTACTCAGTCTGTTTTAGGCTTCTGTGGGAACATTTTTGCACTAATGCTTGTCCATTCAATATTTGACTGAGTGGCCTCCTATCTCACTTTAAACTTTCTTTCTTCTTCATGATAGATCTCTGAACAACAACTTTTTTACGTGAATTACCAAAAGTGGAGAAGAGATGGCCAGTTCAGCCCGAGAACACCTGCTTTTCGTGCGACGTCGCAACCCACAGCTCCGGTACACTCTGAGCCCGGAGAACCTGCAGAGCTTGGCCTCTCAGGGCACCATGGCTGAGAACATGAACTTGCAGCGTGCCAACAGTGACACTGATTTAGTGACCTCGGATAGCAGGTCTAGTTTGACAGCCAGTATGTACGAATACACCCTGGGACAATCTCAGAACCTCATCATTTTCTGGGATATTAAGGAAGAAGTAGACCCAACTGACTGGATAGGACTTTATCACATAGGTAAGTCAGAACTGTGTTGTAATATTTCTGTGTGTTTCTTGCTCTTTTGCCACTTCGTATTTTCAGTTCTGATACATATTGTGGCATACTGCATAATTAATCTAAAGATAAAGTTGAGGTAAGACTGCAGAGAATTACCTTGGATTCCTCTTTGCTTTTCTTGTGCAGTGAACTGTGTAAAAACATGATTCTAATTAACGTAGATCTGGTTCCACAGTGACCCACTAGAGGATGAAATGCATTATTCTTAAACAATAAATGTGCACACAGGTTCCTGTTTTCACCTTTGCTGGTGGCTGGCTTGCAGACTGGAAAATTCAGAGTAAATTCTGAAGGAGTGAGAATTTTTGTTTATGAGGAATTCTTGTAGAAGGAAATCCTCTAAAGAGATTCTTTTATGCACTTTTTGTTGTGGTGTTCAGGATATTTCATAGGAGGGAGCTGGAAAGAGCTCTAGGCTGGCATGCAAGGGGCTGTGGCTGTGTGTGCATTAGCAAATAATGTGTCTCAAAAGGAGTGGATCAGTAGGTCAAAGTAGTTGGTGCTTGGAGCCTGGCATCAGTTACATTTTTGGATTGTGATTTTCCACTGTGTTATGTTTATGTTTAGTCAGGGCCCTAGAGGCAAACATCTCTGCTGCATGTGTGTTCTGTCCAGAGGACAGTCTTTGTCCCCACCAGGAGCTGGAGCATAGGTAGCACCTGGGTAACTGTAGTGGCACATGGGGTTTAGTTTCCTTCTCAAGGAATCAGTTCACATGCACTAAAATTACTCTCTTCTCAGAAAGTGGGACTGATGTGTTGATTTGTTTCAAAATTGTGCTGTTCTCTGAACCTAATTACTCGTGTAGAAAGGAGCTGTCAATTCAAGCTGGCAGAATCAGATATAGCAGGAACTGGTGGAAACAGTTCTGATCACTGGAATTTTGTGTGTGCTGGGACCAAGTGTAGTGCAATGAAATTAGCCTCAGTAGGATTTTGGAGAGATACTTACAGTGCCACCTTTTTCCAAGATGTTCCCTCTCTGCACCCCGTAATGTTACATGCTATGGAGATGCTGTTTCTGGCTGTAATTTTTTTTTGTCAGGTATTATTTTCCTACATTACCACGGCTCCACAAACTGTATTGGCTTGTGTTGATTCAGTGCTTCCCTGGTTATAAAAGCTGTGTTGCAGTTGCTCCATGAACTGCAGTCTCTCCTGGAATGAACTGTGGGTAATACACTAACATTTAAGTCACCTAAATGAAGTGTCTGCATAATAAACAGAAATGGATCTTCCCAACAGCCTTAGCAACTGAAGTGTGATCTGTCCTGTAAAATGCACAGGCTGCTAAATGGAGCTTAAACATTCTAATTTAAATACCTTGAGAGCTTCATCTGCATAAAGGTTTGACCCCTTCCTGTTGTTTTTTCATGGTTCACAGCACTTCAGGATTGGTATTCAATATGCTAAAGTGCAACAGCTCTGTAAAATTCTCGTTGGGTCCAGTTGTAGGCTTCAACTGATTTTTATCTTACTTTCAGGATTAAAAATATTTCCAATTTCAATCTTTTGAGTCCCTAAAGTACAAAACAATGTTAAGTTACCATGGAGTAAGAATTATATAAGGAACAGCCAAATTTATGCCTTCTTGGACCTAAACCCCCATTATGCTACTGTGTAATACCAGAGTGTGTGAATGTTTTCTTGTTAAATTTGTCTCTACTGCCACTTGAAATCCATGAGCAGTGGTGAGAGTTTTGTTACTGATTTAAAATAGGGCTGAGCAGCCTTTCTTTTAAGACATGTGGTTTCATCATTCTAAATGAGGAAATTGTACATTTTTAACAACAGAGAACAGAGAAGTAAGGGCATATTCAGCCTCGATAGGCATGCCTATATCTTTGATTTAATTTTTTTTATAAACACTTTCAAGTATTTTAAAAACAAAAGAATAGTAAAAAAAATTAGTTGTGAGGATGTGGTCTAAAAAACTTTTAATTTCCATAACTTTTATAGGCACAGTTAAGGTAAATTAATCTGCATAGGTATAATCCAGGATTTTCAGTCCTTTGTAATAACTGCTGTGAAGTACCCTCAGTTTCCACGTACTCCTTTGGAAGCTGAAGACATTTCTTGTTTTCTCAGGAGAGGGATGTTAGTTGGTGAATATTTTTAAGAATAAAAGCTCTCAAACATGTTATTAACATTTCATGTAGTTGCTTGAGGTTATCCACCCTGGTCTCTGTTAAAAAAGAGAATCATTTCACTTACAAAGTCCCTCCTCTGGCGCAGCCTCCCGAAGGCAGTGGAAGTTGTGTGTGGTCACTAACACAAGACAGCACTGGGGCTGTGCCCGTTTGCAGCTGTACCTCCAATATTCCCACATGTCTTCTAGTAAAGCACCATTTTTTTCAAGGAGCTAGGATCAGAAGAAGGAAAATATTTTACTCTTATTAAAAAAAAAACCCAAAGCCACATTGCATAACCAAAAGCATAGTCCAGTGGCTTTTTGTTTTTAGTGTTGGTTGTGTAATTAATTGTCATGAAAACTGGATCAATGGTTCGAGGGGGGGGAAAATGTGGTTGTTAATTCTGTGAAAAGGTGAACATCCTAAAATGAGCATCATTCAGACCTCATTTGTACAGAGAGATCTGGCAAATGTCTGAAGCAATCCAGGTACATTTTCACCTCAAGTTACATAGGATACATCCATTACAAAAGGCATCAAAAATGGCACTTTAGAAACTTGCCTCTTCATTCATTAATTTACTCAATTAGCACGTTCTCATTAGTTTTCTATAATGAGAAGACAATCCTATGCTTCTGAGTGTGGTTTTATTGCCAGTATTTGGTGGCTCACTAGGAATCCCACCAAAACTTCTTAATACTTTCTTTGTAAGAGACTGGTCAGAAATCACTGTACACAGTCATCCAGGCAGTGGTTGTTGCAGTTGGTCACAAGACTGTCAGTAGTCGGTGCCACTGCCCTTGCCACTCAGTGATTTGCAGGTGATTGATTTGCTTACACTAGGGAATAGTAGATGGAGCTTCTTCTAGTAGAGTAAAACTTCAGTGAAATGTTTGGCCTCCTAAATAGTTATGAAAATAGGTATTACCTTTTTAAAACAAGAAAAGCCTAAGGGGGGGAACACAGGATCATTCTCGAGGACTGATTTTTTTATTTATTTTAAATTTTTTTCCTAAGTGCATGTGGATTTCTTTCTGGATTTCTGGTTATCTTTTTTAAAAAGGGAAGGAAGTCATAAATGAACAAATACTCTGTAGGAAAGGCTATGTGTTTTATGAGACATTAAATCACAAGATAGTGCTTTGCAGTAACTTTCAGTCTTTCATTTTAAATGGAAGAAGTTGAACCTAACTGAAACATTCTACAAAGCTCTATGTAACTAAATCCATGCTCAGTTTTACTGGAGTTTTTTTATTTTAAGGCATTTTTTTAGATATGTGTGAGTTTGCTCACTTGTACCACACTTGTATCTTCCTTTGTTTCATCAATGTGTATGGTGAAAACATCGTCTGCTTTCTTGCTGAGGGATTGCTTTCTACAGACCTTCTTTTTCCTTTCCAGCGTATTCCTAAGGATTATCAGAAGAAAAGTGTATGTGAGGGACACAGTGTATTCTGTGAAAGCAAACATCCTTTTTCCTGGATATTTCTGGTTTTGTGCTGGCTGAACTCTTAAAGGTGTCAGTAGCACTTCTTGAACAGTCTTGTCCATCAAGTTTTGTTAAAGCAGCTTTCCACCTCCAGAGGCGAGATGTGTGGAGAATGGAGATAACACATCTATAAAAGCACAGAGAGGTGTCCCACTGAGACTACACGCAGCGCAGAAATGTTATTTTCTCTCTTTAGGTAAATCAGCCAGTGTAGCATGAAATGTGAAATTGTCAAATCTGAAATACAGGTTTATCACTTCAAATTGAGCTTTAAACTTTGCCTAGAATGGACTTTTCACTTCTTCTTCGGGACCAGTTACAGGCATTGTGACTTGAAAGTGACAGCAGGGTGGGATGAAGTTTGAAGAGTGGGCTTTTTAGTAGAGATATTGCACCTGTGCTTACTTTGAGAAATAAAGGTAAATTTTCAGATCCATTTTATCTTTTTTTTCTTTTCTTTTTTTTTTTTAAACTAGGATTTAGGTTGAAAATCTTTATCTTTTGAAGTTACAGAAGACGACAGAATTTAACAAACATCCTTTTAGACCCATGAGGTTTTCTTGTTCAGTACTGATTCAGCTTTTGCTTTTTATATGCCTGTTTTAAAAATTGTTATGAGTGGTATGTAATATATTGAAGGTTGGGGTTTTTTTTCCCCCCTCTATTTAAGAGGAATCTACATTTTTCTATGGCAAGAGTGGGAGTCTTGTAGTGAGTGAGGCTATGGAAAACATTGGACCCAGCTGAAATCAAAGAAGAGAAATGGATGTTCAGTTTGAAGGGGCTATGAGACCTCCCAGTTTTCTTGCTACTGTGTTATTATAGCATCAGGGTTCCAGGACTTCCTTGGAAAGTGAGAACTGCTCAAGAAGATGAGCAGGTGGACTCTGCACTGCTTGTGGGATGCTGAGGGAGGCTGAATCTTGATGAGCTTTATGGGTTGTCATGAAGTCCTATATTTAAAGAAAACAGGAAGTACAAAATAAAGAATAAAAATTCAGGAGAGAGAAGCAAACCCTAATTCTGTTTTAAATAGATTATCTCCCATGGCCAAATTACCCAGGTTGGCCTATTTTTGTCCTAATTTACGGAGTCCTATTTATGAGATGCATGCCCTCATTCTAGACACCCTTAGCACATTTAAAATGCTGGCTACCAAAGGTCATTACATTTGCTTCCATCAGCTGCCTTACACAGGCTGCTTAGCTTTTTTTTATACCTACATCATGGATCCAAAATAGCATTATGAAAAACAAAACAGACTCCAAAATGAACAAAAAAACCACCCTGATGTGAAGTTATATAGGGCAATTTAGATAGGATCTAGATTTGTACTAA